ATCTGTGGTTTGGTGACTGTCATTAATTTTGGGAAAATCTCAGTCCCCATAAGCTTCACTTATTCTGTTCCCTTCTTTCTTCTCTTTCATGTATTCCCATCATGTGTATGTTACACTTTTTATAATTGTCTCCAAGTTCATGGATTTCTGTTCCCTTTTTTGTTCTTTCATCTCTTTGCATTTTAGTTTTGGAAGGTTCTCTTGACATTTCCTCAAACTCAGTGATTCTTTCCTCACATGTTTCCATTGTGTTGATGTGCCCTCACCCCCATCCTGCCAAAGGAATAATTCATTTCTGTGCTTTTGGTTTTTATTTCTTGTATTTCCCTTTTGGTTCTTTCTCAAGTGTTTCCATATTCGCGTACGTGAGCTATCTGTACTTGCACGCCACCCACTATTTCTTTGTTTTTTTTTTTTATTATTTTGGCCATGCCCTGCAGCATGTGGGATCTTAGCTCCCCGGCCAGGGATCGAACCTGCACCCCCTGCATTGGAAGCGTGGAGTCTTAACCACCAGACCACCAGGGAAGTCCCTCATCCACTATTTCTGTTCGAGTCCTTAGCATATTCATCATGGTTGCTTCAAATTTCTGGTCTGATAATTCCAGCATACCCGCTACATCTGAATTAGTTTCTTTTCCTTGTCCTATTGTTATCGAATCAGGGCCCGCTGCTCGCAGCTTACAAAATCAAATTCACAAATGTTGATAGAAAGGAAAGTTGTCTTTGATTAATCAGAGTGCCGGCAATCCAGGAAGATGGTGGACCCAAAAAACCACCTCCCAAGGGCCTGCTCGGCCATGAAAGTTTTAAAGGGAAAGAGGGAAGTAATCTCAATCATTGAAATAGGGGGTCACAGTCATCACTGCCCCCCACTGCATGCAGGTTCATCGACTTGTGATCTTCCTCCAGATGTTAATCACACAGTTTGTTCACAAGATTACCGAAAGGGAAGCTAGGGAGGAGATCTGGTCATCTGTTAATTACTTATTCTACTTACTCATTTCTACTTCTTTGAACCAACAGGCTAGGCAAGGTGTTGTGTGATGAAAGGATTTGAAAGGTGTGCTTGGGCGGGAGATGAGTAGAGCATGGGGGTGCCTGGTTTAAAAGTTAGTTACATTACAACTTTGCTACAGTGACAAGGAAAGGGACTTCCTGCTGAGGGCAGTTTCCTGCGAAGAGCTGCTTACACTGTCTCCTGAAGGTGTGTTTTTTAAGTCTTTTCTTGTGCCTTTGAATTTTTTGTTGAATACTGGACGTGATGTAGTGTGAAAAGGAACTGAGGTAAATAGACCTTAATGTGAGGCTTTTTGTTTATCTGACTAGCCTTAGGCTGTATCGACTATTTGTTGTAGCTGTCCGGGGTGAAATACCCTCAGGTGTCCTTGCTTTTGTCTCCCATGTCACCTCTGGGGTACTGTAGAGACTTGTAAGTAAGTTCTGAAACATACTGTTCTTTCTGTGTTTCCCACTGTGATGAAACAGGCGTCTGCTTGGTGTAGTGGCATGTTGTGGGTGGAGAGGAAATGTTCTAGCGTCCCATGATTTGGTCTCAGTATTTTAATGAGTGTGTGTCCTTGGGCTGTGACCTTCTGTGGTATGATAAAAATGTTTGGTCTTTGTCCACAGATCTTATCAAAGATCTCCTAAGGCCCTTGGACTTTCTGAGTGATGAGAGCATCTTATGTTGTAATGAGGCAACTGCTTCCAGGCCCCCAAGATGGCTTCAGGGTATGGGTCGGTCACCAGGAAGACCAAGCTTTGATTAGAGGCTTAGAATGTTCAGCCCAGTTCCCAGCCTCTGGGGAGGAAAGAGGGACTGGAGATTGAGTTATTCACCAGTGGTCGACATGAGGGAACTCCATGGAAACCCCTAAACCTCGGGATTCAGAGAAATCTGAGTTGGTGAACACATCACCATGCTGGGAGGCTGTCATTCCAGGAGAGGGCATGGAAGCTCCCTACCCCCCGACCATCACTTTGCCCTGTGCACCCTTCACATTTGGCTATTCCTGACTTGTATCTTTTACAGTAAACTGGTAATAATAAGTAGTGCTTTTCTGATAGCTCTTCTAACCAATTAACAAAGATGAGGTATTGTCCAGGGAACCTCTGAATTTGTAGCGGGCCATGCAGAAATGTGTGTAACCTGCCCGCTGCCCTGTTTGCAGCTGGCATCTGACATGGGGGCAGTCTTACAGGATTGAACCTGTAAACTGTGGAGTCTGATGTTAACTCGGATTAGTTTGTGTTAGACTTGAATTGAATTGCAGGACACCCAGTTGGTGCTGGAGAGTTGGCATAGTTTTGGAAAACATACCAAGTATTTGCTGAGAGGTCAGGCAGAAAGGCTAGAGGGGACTCCAGTTGCCTATTTCCCACCCCTCATGTCATTTAGGCACTGGTAGAATCCCAGTTGGTTAGCCTCTAATGAAGGAGATTCTTTTGAGGACAGGACTTGTTAAGAAGAGTGGAATTTTGTGGGCATATTTCAAAATGGCTATTTTTCAGTCTCTCTGCAGTTTTGGAGACAGCACTTTGCCCTGTGACCTCAGTTCTTTGATAGATATAAGAAGAGTCATTGATTTTTTCAGTTTGCTTTTTACAAAAAGTTTGTTGAGGATGGGACTGTTACCTTTTAAGCTCCTTATCTGCCAGATCAGAGGTCTCTGACTCCATCTTTTAATGTTTGACTGCTGATATGTTGGGAAAACTCAGTATTTTTCCTGAATAGAGAAAATCCAGTTCTTCCTGCCTGTGTTTCTCCTTTACTTTTACCCAGAACACTTCACTCTTGACACTTTTGGTCACCAAATATGTGAGGGCCTCCCCCCACAATAAGTAAATTCTCTGTGACACCAGTGGGGTGTCCTACAACTTAACTGAATCCTATCACTGTCTGCCTGGAGACAGCTTCAGATTACACAGGTTAAGGGCTAAGTCCCACAAGGCAGCCACTCCTGCCCCCCAACTTCAGATGCCAATCACAAGGAGTAGGTCCCCAGGTTACTCACAACTTCTGTCTAGCTTGGCTACAAATCAGGGGTTCCCACAACCCCCTCCTTGGGTTCTGTTTGCTAGAGCGGCTCACAGAACTCAGAGAAACACTTAATTTACATTTCCCAGTTTATTAAATGATATGATAAAGGATACAAGTGAAGAGCCAGATGAAGTGATACAAAGGGTGAGGTCTGGGAGGGTCCGTGTGAAGTTCGGGTGCATCACCCTCCCCCATATGGATGTGCTCACCAACCTGGAAGCTCTCTGAACCCCATACCCTTGGGATACCCTTGGGATTTTACGGAGGTTTCCTCACGTAGGCATGATTGATTATTAACTTCATTTCCAGGCCCTATTCCCTCTCTGGAGGATGAGGGTGTTGGGCTGAAAATTCCAAGCTCCTTATCATGGCTTGCTCTTTCTGGTGACCAGCCCCCACCCAGCAGCTATCCAGGAGCCCACCCAGAGTCGCTTCAGCGGAACAAGAGTTGTTCCTAGTGCTCTTATCCTTTAGGAATTTACAAGCTTTTAGGAGCTGGGTGCCAGTAACCAGGGGCAGAGACCAGTATATGTATTTTCCATTATTTGACAGTTGACAACTTTAGAGTCTTACCCCTCCTTCTTCCCTTTGTGCCCCACATCTGTACAGGGTGATAAGAAAGGCTGTGTGTGAACCTCCACCTTAGCCCAGCCCCTGACCTCAGTTTAAAAAACCCAGGCCAGGCTCCCTTCCTTGTTCTCAATCCATTTCCCACCGGCTTGAGAGGCCCGCCCTGCTCTCCCCAGAGACCTCAGTTTCAGAAGTAACTAACCCTTTCATATATTCTTGGTAGGTGTGTGTTAGTCTCCACTACTCAACCAACGCTTGCAGTTGGAGGGGAGGCGGTGTCGAGGGTCCACCTGTCTCCGAAGGTTATAGAAAAGGTAACATGGTATATATATTGCAATACACTGCACTTATTTGCTCTATTGATAAATCCTCCAGACCTTTTCATAGCAATACCTTTTGTTTTTAAAAACTACATATGATGATGCGTTTATGGAACCCATTCTTTCCCAACGGACAGTTGGCTTCTTGCTGATTTTTCTGCCAAAACCGTGAGTGAAAACTCAGATTGCCACATTATAGGACAAACTAACATACAAAAATTATGTTTGTTTCCAAACTTAATTACTGCTTGAAATTTTTATCAGCAAATATATTCAGAAAAGAATATACAAAATATTTTGTGGCAAGATTTAGTGATAATTGAAACATCTTTGGAATCTTCATGAAGATTCATAAATGGCCTGTGGGCAGTGGTGAGAGTGTCCTGACGTTCCCATCCCTCACTCATCTCGGTCCTGCCCCATACATGACGGTGGTTGTGATTCTTTGTTTATCCTTCATACCTTCGCTATCTGTCATTTTTCACTCAGCAGTGGTCTTTCAGTTTTGCCTCCTTTGACCTTTCAACAAACAAGGAATTACACTGAAAAGGTTTTCCGGTGGTTTCTCTTTCTCAGTGTTTCACACATGCTAGTGTTTGAGGTTTCAGGGCTGGTCTAGGACTGCGGGGTTCATCCTCCCACCAGAGCCAAGTGCCCCTGAGGCCGGCGGGCTTTTAAAGTACCAAATGAGTGGGGGTAGGTAGGGATGGATGGGCGTCTCTCACAGGAAATCGTCAAAGATAAAAGTGGAGCCAGACTCATTTCATATGGTGAGGTCACTTTTAAGTCTCCGTGTCTGTGAAGAAGTGTCACAGTTCCGTGAGGGCCTCGCGGCCTTATGGTTCAGTGCAGTGTCCGTGGAGGGGACAGTTCTGGGCCCTGCCAGGACAAGGTCGGCGCAAAGACGAGAACTCCGGCCTCCTGTCACTCAGGCACGGGAGGCAGGGCCTTGCGAACTGTCCAATCAGGGGAGTCGCTGGTTACGTACGTGTCGGCGCCAGCGGGCGACGCTCCAGTGACGTGCGTGGGTGGCGTGGACTGCTTGCTCATTCTCATTTGCTCCCGCTGTGCAGCACGTCCCCGCTCGATGCCCTTAAAGGGCTCTGGTGGCTCCGCGGCATCCTCTGTCGCTGAGACCTGCACTTGCCGCGGCAGTTGTGGGGTGGACGACAGGGAAGCCGAGAAACCGAAAAATGGTGAGTTGGGGAGCCTGGTGTTGGGAGACGGGGGCGGAGGGACCAGTTGGAACTGGCCGTTGTGGGACCCGGGCCTCCCCGCGGTCAACTCCGGACCTGCGGACCCGAGTCCACAGCCGGCGCGGCAGGCAGCGTTGGGGCTCGGCCGGCAGTCGGGACCCAGGGCGGCCTCTCCGCTCACTGCAGTGGCCAGGTCTACTCCAGATTGTGTGGTGTCCACGGGGAGGGTGATCAGGGGACAATCGTGACTCAGTATCCGGGGTTCCTGCGTTGGAGGAGCTGTGGTCTTTGGGGTCCCCAGTCCCTCCTTTCTCCCCGGGGTGGGGGGACTCATTTCCCCCTCACTTTCCCAAATTTTGAGAAACATGGTCACAAATCCACGACCCTGTTCTTGTACCCTAGATCTTCCCAGGGCAGGCAGTAAATGCCTAGATTTCCAGATCTTTCCCCACGTTCCCAAACGCCATCTTCCCCTCTCCAGTGCATAGCTTCATCATTAACTATTTGTCTTCCACGGTGCATTTCAGACTACGCAGTATTTTAATTGTATCATTTCTCCACAGAGCCATGAATGGCTCTTTTTAAAGATTCATTTTTTTGTCTGTGTGTATTTTCCATGAGAAGAAATCAGAGACTAACCACCTGGAACTACATTGTATAAGTCTTGCGCTTCCCCCCCAGGACCTTTGCTGGGCACAGACATCCTGTTTGAGCCCTTTGGGTGGAGGTTCCTCTTTGGAGACTCCTGGGTAATCTTTTTATCATAGTTCCAGGTCAGCCTTGCCCCTCCCTGAGTTTGTGACTTTATTCACTTTAAGTCTCGGTTTTTGGTAACTGTAAATGTATTTAATCAATAGATCTTGAAAGAGAGTATAAAATATTTCCGAAGGGGAAGAAAGAGGTGAATTTCAGAAAAAATAAAACAAAATATTCTGTTATACCATTCCATTAGTTAAAATTTTTCTTTTTTTTGGTCCCATGAGTGACTGCATGTAACATTCGAGATCTGTTTTTTTCTTTTCTTCAATTATGATTATTTCCAAACAGTTTCTTGCCATGGAAATAATAATTAACTGACATTTATTTTCAGAAAGGAATAGACATTTGTGTGTTTTGTTCTTGAACTAGAAAAATGCCTTACAATTTTCTTCCTTCCTTTACATGTAAATCCTGGTTTAGAATGGTTGTGCTGGATTATTCAAACACTGGGTTTGTGTCATTTAAAATATCAGTGGTGTCCAAGGCAACAACAGTGGGGAACCGAGACCTGTGGTCAGTATTTCTAAGCTAAGGCCCCCTTAAGCCTGCAAAGGGAAGTACTCAGAGGACCAGTTGTTCTTGCTGGGGAGCCTCCCCCTGTAAGTGTCCTACCGCTTGCACCCACTGTGGAAGGAGTCTTTATAGGAAGAGAAGATACAGATCCCTGGAAAGCTGGGGATGCACCTGTGATGGTGGGTGGGGGTTGGGGAGTGATGCCCTTTCTGAAGCTATAACTGTGATTTTCTTGGTGCCTGTTTTGAGATACAGGTTTGAGTCGCTTTTGCAGTGTAGGTGCACTCAGGGTAATATGAGTACATTGAGAAAGTCTGTGAAGGTCATGTGTTCTGTGTCCTGGACAAGAGTTTATGAGTTTTGGAGTACATTTCAGTTAGAACTTTAAATTGAATCTGGCCAAGAGTTTTCTCACTTGTAAGAATTGAAGCCTGAGAAGGGAGCATTTGCATTATGTTGGAGCCTCCAGAGTTTATTTCTATGGCTGCTCAGGTGTCCTTACCCTCCATCACCAGGGACTGACACACTCTAGGGGTTGTATCCCCACAGGGGGAGTCTGGACCTCAAGCTTGGAAATCTGGGTTTCCTTCTGAACTGTAGGGAAACAGGCTGCTTATCTCACTGATTGAAATATTTGCATTTCTTTCCTTGTATATGTTTATATATCGAATATTGCAGCTCTTAACTCTAGTTTCCCTTAATGGTTTGTGATATAATTTACTGTGTGAGTGTATAATATTTATAGGTCTCAGGCTTTAAATGTATGTTGATTGAGAGACATAGTGGGAGTAAGGCCAAGAATTTTGGAACCAAACAGAGTATTTGTTCCTTTTAGGCAAGAGATCCTCAAGATATGAGATGGGTGTATTTGAGTTCTCAGATGGTTTTTACATTTGTAAGTCAGTTTTTGTATGTGCATGTCCTTAGCTTTGAAATTTTAAGTGCTGCAATATTACTGAAGCAAATGAATTCCTGTAATTGATAATGAGGAAAACTATTCAAAACTTACCTAAGTCATTGAAAATCCTAGTATATTTAATGGATTAGACCCAAATTCCTAGTGCATTACACATTACTTATTTCTGAAATAACCCCCAGAGTGAGATATAAGGAGAAACTATGATGCCTCTCTTGTAATTTTAGTTAGAAGGAGATATGAAACTTTTCACTTTTTATGCTTTTTATAAGTGTTAAATGTTTAAAGGAGTAAATCTTAGCATGGTTTCCTCCATAGAAAAGTAAAAAATAAGTTAAAATTAAAAGCAAGTTAATTAAAAGTAAAGGCTGTTAAATAGAAAAATATGGTTTATGCAGATTACTCAGTTAATCTTAAATAATCATGCGAAGGTTAGGAAAAGGCTGTTAAGATAAGAAGGTCTAGGGCTTCCCTGGTGGCACAGTGGTTGAGAGTCTGCCTGCCGATGCAGGGGACACAGGTTCGTGCCCCGGTCCGGGAAGATCCCACATGCCGCGGAGCGGCTGGGCCCGTGAGCCGTGGCCGCTGAGCCTGTGCTCCGCAACGGGAGAGGCCACAACAGTGAGAGGCCCGCG